AGTAGCTGTTCAGGCTGATTCCAACTTTTGGGAACTCCCACATCCCACCCACATAAAATGCTTAACCTCCAATAGTTATGAGAAGAAATAATCACACTGGGCTATGCATAGTGGACACTGGGACATGTTGGTGTCTCAGGTTTTCAAAGAGGATCCCAGGTGTCATTATCCCATTTATGATAAACCTTTTTTTGTTGTTATTTGTAGGTTGCCCTAAAACAAGAATTCTAGGTGAAACTTTCTCTAAGGCAATTGTATTAGAGGATGATCTAGAAGTAGGGCAAATAGCCAGTTTGGTGCAGTGCTTAAGGCACCAGGCTAGAAACCAGGAAACTGTGAGTTCTAGTCTGCCTTAGGCATGAAAACCAGCTGGCTGACCAATCACTAACTCTCAGCCCTACTTTTTCTTGTGGAGAAAATAGGAGGAGGAAGGAGTTATGTTCGCCACCCTGAGTTATTTATAAAAATAATATGAAAAATCTTTAAAGTATAGATAAAATAGATTTTAAAAACCTTTAATAATAGAGAAGACACAAATAGGAGAACAAATGGCAAGATGGCTCCAAGCAGGGGTCAGGTATTTCAATGGAAATACACACAAGCAAGAGCTCCCTCAACCCACAAGAAAGAAAGAAAGAAAGAAAGAAAGAAAGAAAGAAAGAAAGAAAGAAAGAAAGAAAGAAAGAAAGAAAGAAAGAAAAAGAAATTTCAATATCAGAATTAAGTGAATGAATGAAATGAAGTCTACCCTTGGCTTAAAAACTGAAGCCAGTTCACTTCTTCTGTCATGAAGTAAAATAAATACTTTCTTGTAATTTGTTTGTTATCCCTAGTTCCCCTTCCACAGGATTATTGACAAAGGCTTGGATAGGACTCCAAGGGGCAGCAGGGATATTTAAGAGTACTGGATTATATGGATCAAACAATACAGGTTTGCTTACAAAGCAGAATCCACAGATATCTGCAGAAATGTTGAGAAAAAGAAAATGCTTACTCAGCATCCAGGGTCAAAATAGCTTTTGGTCTGGCATACATTGCATCCTTGCTATTACAGGAGGTAATATATAACAAAAAATATCCAGAATAACTAACAGTTGAATGTAAATGAGACAAAGGGTAAAGCATTGTTGCATTTTACTGGAATTTTTTGAAGTGCTGAGACTAACACAGGTAAGCTGAAGACTACTGGATTATTATACAATAGTATAATCTAGTAATGCTGAATAATAAGAGATCTGGGTATTTAGGACCAATTACCAGTTTATTAGAAAATTATGTCAGGAGAAATATAATTGATATTGTCTTGCTCTGTTTTTGATCTTCTATTCCCTAAGAATCCTTGGAGAGTTTTAGGGAGTAACCAAGCATTATTGACAGTCTTCTCTTGTTAATGGATCCTGGACTGTATGGCATGTCATTATGTTTTAGCTTGGAGAAAACTTATAAACATCATTGACTTGTACGTGTAATATAATGGTTTAGCATGCTCGTTTAATAAAGAATATCATGTTTTATTTCTAATCATGCCATTGGTTACAGAGATCATATATAGCTGAAGCACAATGTTTATAGTATCACAGCTTGAATAATTGTAGCTGTTGGGCTTGGTAATGTGAAGATACTATAGGATATCTTTCCCTAAATATCTGGTTCATGGTGCCAGAAATAGACTGAGTGAAACTATGTTTAAGCAGGGATGGGCAGGTTTACCTCCTCTGCATATTTCACCTGGCCTGTTACTGGTAATTACATTTCTCCCACGCAAATCTTTCCTGCCAAACCAACTTGGACAGGGCAAAATAAAAAGAAGATGGAAAAATCTGGCCTACTCATTAAAGATCTGACACTTTTCTGGGTGAATTTTAAAGTGGGAAGCAAATGAACCTTAAGACTTACACAGCTTTTTTTAAAAAAATACAACAAACTGCCTGAAGAAAAATCAGGTATTCCAACATCCCACAAGATTTTCTCTTCCCCAGACACAAGCCACAGAAAAATCAATAGGGGTTGCAGTAGCATGGAAGGAAGTTCGTGAGAAATGGAGAATTAAAGGATTTGATTATCTAAAATACCAGTCAACCTTGCTAGAGTTTAAGAGTTCTGGACAAATTATTTTTCATATATTTTTATTATAATATGCGTCCATAGCATCATTAAAGAATAATACAATAAAATTGTTATTGAATTAGTCATTTGACTATATCAAAACTATAAAACTAATACAAATGTACAAGCAGATATAAAAGAAACAACAGGACATGTTCACAGTAAGTCATTACTCCTTCAGTGATCTAAACATTCCATCCTTTTGGATATGTCCTTTGAAAAGTAGACTTCCTAGTGATAGACAGATCCGTTCCATGGAAAAAGTAAGTTTCTCTCCAGTGCCCCCTTTTTAGTTTTTAAATAAGAACCTAAATAATCAGCTCCTTTTGCAGAGTACAGTTTGCAATTAAAAAAATAGTTCAAAGTCTTCAATGGCTGGTGTTCCACGGGTGGGTTCCACCACAAAACCGCGGACACAAAATCACGCTCGACGAAAGCGCGTACGTGACGTCATCACAGCACGACGAAAACATTGCGCTGTGATCAATAAATGTAAAAATAAAGCGAAAACCTTACCCTAATCCCCCCAAACCTAACCCTAAACCTAACCCTAAACCTAACCCTTAACCTAACCCTAAATCTAACCCTAAACGTAACCCTTAACCTAACGCTAAACCTAACGCTAACCCTTAACCT